GACCTACCCCTCCTATCCTGGGACATCTACTCTGGTTCTTGCTTTAGGGCCAACACAGATGAAGAGCTGGTGGGGAAAGGTAAGAGGCGCCCTCAGTGTGTGATGGCCAGAGCCTGGACCCCACCTCACTGGTTGGGCCTAGTCACTTACAGATTAAGAAATGGGCCTCGTCTGTAATATAGGCAGATCCGATGGGACCGGGCCTGGGCCTTCTTCCAGGCCCTTAGCCAGGATCTAGCCGTCGCTGGTGCTATTTCAGAGAGAGGAACTTCTGCCCATCACGTCCCTATTTCACCGACCCCTCCCGCTCTCCCCACACACTGCTGACTCATCAGCCTCAAGTCCCTGAGTCAGTCTTTTAGCTCAGCAGCTCTCAGACATTTGGATTTTATATTCTGGCAATATTTCTAAAAACTATTTTTAGGACCTCATAGGATTGCCAATATTTTACTTTGTCAAATAGGACATTAAAAATCACAAGCACTTCTACCTGTGATAAGCATTGTGTTATCAAAGGGTAATCAAATAGAGAGTAAATGAAAAGGTCGGACTCTCAAATTGCCTGCTTTCCCCTCATTTCTCGGGCAATGGTGGAACGTCCTGTTGGACCGGACAGCTGCTGTTCTTGGGGATGGCTGCTTTAGCTGAGGCTCTGACTGCTTAACATGCAAATCCCAGGAGAACACCAACCTCAGCTGTCCCTGAGGGGTGATGGCTCTGGGCAGCGGAGGGGCTGGTGGCAGGTGGCATGGGCTCAGGAAGAGCTCAGATTGGGACTCCGAGCACCAGGTCTCCAGCAGCTCCACTGACCTGGGAGGGAAGGAGGAGCACCCACGCCTCCAGGGCATCTCAGGTGAGGTTGGAAGTGGGGGCGGGGTTGGGGGTGGAGGGGAGGAGAAGGGGCTGGGAGCAGTGCGGCTTCCTCAGAGAAAGGCTGAACGGACAGTGTCCCCCTGCCCTGAAGCTGAGCCCTCTTACACCTCCCAGCTGCACCTCTTCTTTTCAGTCATTCCCACCCCCAATGTTTGCCCAAAGCCTGAGAGAACCCCCCCCGCCCCGCCCTCTCTCCCTCCAGTAACTGCCATGAATGCTTTTGTGGGAGGCAGGAGTGGAGATTAGGTTGTTCACCCCAGAACAATGTTGTGGGTCTGTTTTCTAGCTCATGTGGAGCACAGGACAGTACGTGGCATCCACGGTTCATCTGTCTGGACTATGAAGAGCTGCCTTCAAAAAGGGGAGCCCCCCACCCCTACACACCACAGCTCATTCTTCCAGGGCTCAGAGATACCTTGCACTACTGTCTCTTTAAAAACTGCTCTGTGTTACTAAAGGAACCAATCAGCAGGCAGGAGGAGGAGCTACTTGGGGGCCTGACCACCAGTTGTGCCCAGAAAGAGTCAGTGGGACTCCCCAAGAATGACAGCCTCCTGAGGGAGCCTGGCAAACCTATTTAAAGGGACAGCATCCCAGATGGACTGCTCAGGTGGTGCTAAGAGACCAGAGCCCCTGAACTGACCAAGGTATCCTCAAAGTGGCTGCAGTGCCCCCTCCCCTTCATTGGCTGGAAAGACGGGTGATTTATCTGTATAATTGGGCTTTTATTTGCATTTTAAATCACGCTCTTTTGCTAAACTAATGGGGCCCTATTTATAGATGACTCCAACACAAAGTGACTACTAATTACTGCAATTAATATCACGTTAAGGCCTTGCCAGCCAACTTCACAGCAACTTATATCGCCTACTCATTTTCAATTAAGGCACATTGACAGGGAGAATACGTGGTTATTAAGAGCGGGCCCTGGGGTGTAATTACTGCTCACAAGGTCATTAAGCAACTCCCTTGCAGGGTTGGCACCTCGGAGCCTGGGGGCGTGGGCCCAGATCCAGAGTCCTACCCGCCAGCCACAAAGGCCAGTGCACCGGGCAGATGGGGCTGGGCTCTGAGCTGCCTGGGGGTGGAACAGATGATGCCAGGACGGCTTGGGGCAGGGCCGGGAGAGCCAGGCAGGATGGTTGGAGGGGCCGTTCCACCCTTTCCTGAGACCGCAGGCCCTGGCAGCCAGGAGAGCTGGCAGAGCTCCCGCCTGCTCAGGCAGCTGGGCAATGTCTATGGAGGCTGCCTTTGGAACAAGTGGGGGGCTGGGGGTTGAGGGAGGGTGATTGGCAGCAGGGCTGAAGGATTGAGGGGATGAGAGCCCAGGAAGGAGTCAGCTGTGGAAGCACCGTGTGTGTGTGTGTGTGTGTGTGTGTGTGTGTGTGTGTGTGTGGTGTTCGGGGGAGGTTGGAGGGGGGTCAGGCCACAGAATCCTGCTCCAAGGTAGAGAGAATGGGCTTTGGGGCGGGAAGAGGCTTGGGCTCCAGATGCCGGGCACTGGTCCCTTCTGACCAGGAGCAAGAGAACTTGAAGGTGAGGAGAGGCACGCAGGGGAAGTAGGGAGAGCAGGATAGACCTGGGAGTGGGGTGGGGGTGGCAGGAGTTAGGGAACTGGGGGAGGGGAAGCGAGCGCCCCCAGAAGGTACTCTTCTCTATCGGTGCCGGTGGCTGATCTGCTGGACAAGGTGCGGCTGGCAGGAGGCTCCAGGGCCCCGTCCCCACCTTCTAGGGGCCAAACCCAGGCCAGAAAGCTGTTGGCTCAGGGCCAACACATGTGGTGAGTGTGGTTAGAGACCCATGGCCGGTGCTGAGCCGGGTGTGCTGATCAGAGCCAAGCTCCCTTCCCAGTTCCACCCCCAGGCCCTCAGGGGTGTGGGGCGGGGACTGGCCACGGTGGAGGTAGAGCGTTTAGACCACCGGAGACTGCAAGCCCATAAACCAGAGAGCTGGCTGTTAGAGGGGGCCAGCCGGTGAGGGCTCTGGCCAGGACGGGCAGTGTGGGGCCTTCCTGGAGTGTTTGCACATGTGCACATGTCGTATGCACAGTAGGACTCTGTTCGCTGAATTCAGTTCAAAGAGGACCCAGTTGGAAGCCTAATTCTAAGAAGTGAGCCACGTGGACGGCAGGGGCTCCCGAATGAGGGGGGAGCCCCATGGTCACCTCTAGACCTGATGTCTTATTTGGGAAAATCTTCAGGTCTGAAGATTCACTCCCTCCCGCCCCGCTAGCCTCAGGCTCTCGTCATAACCGCCCCGCCCCCCACCTCTTACGAGGCCAGCACCCCACCCCCACCAGCTGCCTCATCAAGAGGGGAATTGAGCCTTGAGGAGCCAGTGGGGTGGTTGGATGGGAGGGGGGCGGGTACTGGCCCTCCAGGGGAGAACTGGGGCAGTCGTGGGATGGATGTGGAATTCCTTCTGCCCTTGCTCTTCTGGAAGGTTCTGTCCACCACCCTGCTCTGACAATCCTTTGCCTGCACCACCTGTTACCTAGGCGTCCGCTCCCTTCCTAAATAGTCTCCAGCGCCTCGGTCCCCTCCCCTGCTCTTCCCGAGGTAGGCACCTCATCAGTGTAGGTGGGGGACGGGGGAGGAGAGGCAGGGAGGCTCCTGGTCAGGTTGGCCTGCACAGAACGATGCCCTAGCTGAGACAGGCACTGCTCTATCACCTGAGGTAGGCAGCCCAGGGCTGGTTCCTGGTGGTGCCGGGGCCAGAGGTGGCAGCCACCAGGTGTCCACCTTCCAGCAGGGAGAGGAGCAGCGTGCCCTGGTGGGTGCTTCCTGAAGTCCACGCGTGGCGATTGTGCCTGACCCGTCACATGGCCACATGGCTGCCAGGCACGACTGTGACATTATTCAACTGCTTGTTTTCCACCTAAAAAGCAGGTTCTATTACCAATAAGGCAGGGGCTGCAGGCTGCATGCCACAGTGGCTGTGGTGCCCAGACAGTCTGGTGATCAGTGCTGGTGAGGGTGGGAGGACTGACCTGGGGCAGCTGCTGCCTCCGCCCTCAGCTCTGCTGCTGTCCGAGGGACTGGGGGTGGTGGTGACAGTGGTCAGGAGGCTCTCAGGACCCGGGAACCTGGGAGCGAGGGTGTGAGGTGGCCCAGAAAAGTGGCGTAAAGAACAAAGAGAACCAAACGATCAAAGAGGAGAGAAGGAGGGGAGCTTAATGCTGCGTTCTCAGGGGAGACCCACCAGCCCAAAGGTGGGGCCAGTGAATTCGTGCCCTCAGGGAGGGAGGGGCTTCTTTTTTATGCAGGTGTTTGGTGAGGGGCTGCGGGCCTGAGCTGAGGAAGTCTCTGCCGCAGCGGGTGGGCAGGGTATTCAGGAAGGAGTCAGTATCTGTGTGGGGGTCGTTGTGGATTCAGGGAGCAGCCAGTATCTGTGTCTGGCATGGCTAAGGGCGACGAAGGGGGTATTTAAAGGCCAGGGTTAGGCAGAGGCAGATAGGAGGGCAGCCGAGTGTAGGGATGGAGCAGGAGCTGATTCACAGTCACCGGTGACATCTCTGTGATCCGGGAGTGGATGAACTTGAGAAGGCAGGGGGCTAGGAGAAAAAAGACACAGATGAGAATCAGGGGCCCTATCATGGGTAGGACCCAGGTAGCTAAGGGGCTTTGGAACCAGCTGGAAGGAGAGTTGTCCTGGAAGTGTCCTGCATGTAGTTCTTCACTCAGCTTAGTCAGGGTCTGTACATTTTGCTCCACTACTCCGGACTCGTTGATGTAGTAGCAGCGTTGTTCCTGAAGGAATACGCAGGTTCCTCCTCTTTCTGCAGTCAGAAGGTCTAAGGCGCACTGGTTCTGTAGGGCTACTTGGGCTATTGATGTTATCTGTCGCTGTAGGGATGCTAAAGAAGCAGTAATAGACTCCAGGGCTAACTGGAGCTTGTCATTAAAGTCCTGAGCCGTGACCAGACTGTTCCCGAGGGCATCCCCGCCCTCCGCCCCCCACGAGGCCTATTGAGGTAGCAGTACTCACCCCTAACATGACAGGGAGGAATGCGGCCAGCGGATCCGGGAGCGGGATGGAGGGAGCAGCCAGGGGAGCTCTGACTCTCCATATAAGGTTAGTTGGGGAACTACCGTGACCACGAAGCAAGGCCCGGGGTCAGAGAGTTCATGCAGTTGCTTAAGGTGCTGTTGCACCAAAAGAAGGTACCCGGGCTGGCCTTGGTGAGACTGGCTGCGGTGTGGTTTTGGGTGCAGTTCCAAGTGACTCGTCCTCCAGTTACCGGATTACTGGTCTGGTAGCATATCCGTGGGGGCAGGGCGGGCTCTGGAGTTTCAGGTTCCCAAAGGGGAATGCCAGCCACGGGAGGCTGACAATCACCTTTCCCTTGGGTTCTTGAAGAAGTCATGAGTGGGACGGCAGCCACCAAAGACCTTCGGAGAGAGGCACATAGAAAGCAGTGGGAGACATTGGGCAGGGTGTGGGTCTCATTGAGGAATTGTAGGGTGTGTTGAATAAGTTGGAGCCAAGAAGATAGGTCTTCTACCTGGGGGGAGTCAGGCAGCTTCCCTTTAAGGGACTGTTCGGCCTGTAGGATGCTGTTGGATACCTGGACTTGGGCCTCTTGGGCCATGACATATTCCCGGGAGATGTGAATGGTCCCTGAAGGGGTTGAGCTCCAACTATTCCAGTATAGCTTTTTCACAACACCCTTAACCCGTCGCTGGTCCCAGGGATCCCGGACTATGATGTGGAAGGCCCCATTTTCCCAGATAAAGGAGCCACCCCTGAAGGCATCATTGACAACATAGTCTATCCAGCGGCAAACCCCATAGGCGTTGACATCTTGATTACACCTGTCTGGGTCCTCTTGGTCTTAAGCAAAACAGGCATAGGGTCGGCCACCATTGTACACTGACCGGATGTTGACAGTCATCCGGATCTTTGTCTGGCATCCGGCCAGAGGGCAGTTCTGAGATCCTACCTGCCGGGTGACTTGTTTGCCGTTCTGGTAGTAGGTTTCACCAGCGTGTTCTCGGAGCAGCTGCCTGATTAAGGATGATATGGAAGAAAAGTACCCAGGGGAGGAGGCTCAGTAGGGAGACAATGGTTGAGCAAGAAAGGTCTCCCATATAGAAGTTCAAAAGGACTTAAGAAGGTGGGGCTTCTTGGTGTAGCCCGGATTCTGGTCAGGGCCATGGGCAGGAGGTCTGGGCAGGAGCTGTGAATTTCTAGAGAGAGTTTAGTTAGATGGTCTTTAAGGAGGCCATTAATCCTCTCGATCTTACCCGATGACTGTGGTCGGTGCAGAAACCTGTCTGTGTGTTCTTGGAGCAGCTGCCTGAGTAGGGACAAATATGGAAGATAAGTACCCAAGGGAGGAGGATCAGTAGGGAGACAGTGGTTGAGCAAGAAGGATCTCCCATTTAGAAGCTCAAAAGGACTCAATAAGGTGTGGCTCCTTGGTGTATCCTGGATTCTGGTCAGGGCCATGGGCAGGAGGTCCGGCCAGGAACTGCAAATTTCTAGAGAGAGTTTAGTTAGATGGTCTTTACGGAGGCCATTAATTCTCTTAATCTTACCTGATGATTGTGGTCAGTAGGGTATGTGTAGTTTCCAGGAGATGCCAAGAGAGGTGCTAACCTGCTGGACGACCCTTGATATCAAAGCTGGGCCATTGTCTGATTGGATGGAGGTGGGGAGGCCGAACCTTGCGATTATGTGTGCTATTAGGGTCTCAGCCACCACTTCAGCAGTTTCCTTGCCGGTGGGAAAGGCCTCTACCCACCCGGTCAGGGTGTCTACCATGGTAAGCAGGTACCTGGTCTTTTTGTGGGGAGGCATGTGGGCGAAGTGTACCTGCCAGTCCTGCCCTGGGAGATGTCCCCTCATTTGATGGGCGGGAATGTTGGGGCACATCCCTCCCTGGGGTGAGACAGCCGCAAACTTGGGGCAGGAGGAGCAGGCACTTCTGATTGGCTCTCGTAGTGTGGGCGAGGTGAAGAGGGGTTCGAGGAACCTCCAAAGTGCCAGTGGCCCAATGTGCAATGACCAGTGGATCTGTGGGGCAATGGCACCTGTCTGGGCTCGAGGGAGGGCGATTTTGTTATTTAAAAAGATCCATTCCTCAGGACCCGGTGAGCCTCCCCGCTGCAGGAATTTGTTTCTCTCTTCTTCTGTATATTGAGGGGAAATGGAGGGAAGAGAAAGGAACAGGACCGGGGCTGGGGACCCTTCACCCTGAGTTAAGCCTCTGGCTACCGCGTCTGCTCGGGCGTTTCCCCGCGTGACCAGCGAGGAGTCTGTCTGATGGCCTCAGCAGTGCGTTATGGCCACCTGGGAGGGAAGCTGTGAGGCATCAAGTAAGCCGGTTATGAGTCTAGTGTTGATAATAGGTGAGCCTTAGTAGAGAGAAAGCCCCTCTCCCACCAGATAACCGAGTGGCAATGCGCTATCAGAAAGGAATATTTGGAGTCTGTATATATGTTTACCCTCTTCCCTTTGGCCAGGTGTGGGCGGGGGTCAGTGTGATGAGCTCGGCCTTTTGAGAGGTGGTGCCCTCTGGGAGCCGGGCTGCCTTCAGGGTTCGCTCGGGTGTTACTACCCCGTAGGAGGCTTTCTGACGTCCCTGGGGGTCCAGGCAGGAGCTTCCATCCACAGTTAAGTCAGGATTAGAGAGAGGAGAATCTGAGAGTCCTGCCCGAGGCTGAGTGAGGTAGGGTAGGTGGTTGCAGCTGTGAAGGAAAGAGGGCGCTGTATGGAGACCCTGAGGCCCAAGCACGGAAGAGACCCACAGGGGATGGACCCAAGGCCAGAAAGCAGGAGAGGGCTTAATTGGCAAGAGCCCAGTTGCAATGAGGACAAGGAGTGGGAGTGAGTGGGGTGGGAGCCGGGGGCAGGTTCAGAGGATGGCTGGCCCATGCAGAGGAAATGCC